GGTAGGAGTGCGAGTTGCCCGAATTCCATCCTTTTCCGAGGTTGACACACGACTGGCACTCTCTGGGAAGGAAACAGAAGCCTACGCGCTCTGCACGTCACAAAACTGTAAACTCCGCCTCTAGAAAACAAGGTACGCCTAGCCAATGGCCATTTTGGCGTCGTTATTTTCATGAAATTGATGGCGCGGTGCTGATCTCCGTTTCTGTGTCATCAGTCATCAGTCATCAGTCAGGAGTGCTTTATTTTTAAGGAGCAGAGTCTACAGCCATGCGGGAAGCGTGACGTGCTGTGCACTGTTCAATACTGTTCAACAATTCGATACTCATTTATCAACCTCGCAGGGAAGAAGGACAGGTGACCCCGGCGGGCACTTGAACTCGGGACCTATCGGTTATTGTGAGTTCGACGTGCAACCGACTGAACAACCCCGGTCACTACAAAAGGGTGCCAGAATTTGCCCAATCATGAAAGTTCAAACAAGACCGACATTCCAACGGATACAAGTTTTTCGTTTCCTCTTTCAGATCCAACCGGCGACCGCGAGTCTATTCACGAAGATTCACATAAACCTGCTCCGTATGTCTCACCTCACCACTTCGTCTGTCACTGCCACATCTGATCGTGTCGTTCTCTACACCGTATGTTATAATAATTAACGAGCTAACTAGATCGCACAAGTTAGACATTATCAAGAAATGCGTCACTCGAATTTATTCAAAGAACAAAGGCAAACCGAAGCAATTGCACTCGGCAGCCGGCTTATTAAAGACAAAGGAACCGACCAAATTGTTTCCGGAAACGCGAATACTTTAGAGCAAATAAATATCGTGTGAAACTGCAGTCAGCGAACGTATTACTTTCTCGGTCGGTGAACATAACCGCTAAAGCGAAAGTCACAGCCGCTATAGCGAAGGTTAATGAAGATGCCAGTGTCAATCAAGATTCGACTGAGGCCGAATCCTTGCCAGCAGAACAAAAAATGTCGTCCATGCTTAGTGTGAAGCAGCCAGTAGGCAGAGTTGTTGATAACTCTTCAGAATTCAGTCAGCCTAAACAATGCCGTAGTGCTGCAAGCATACCCCCCCCCTCCACGGAGCGTTACAGAT